GTCCCACCAGTCAAGCACAGGAGTGCCTGATTCAGGGGAAGGAACCTCAGGTAAGTGTGTAGATACATTTTCAATTCCAGGGATGGCATCCCCGACGTAGTAGGACACAGTCTTTTGACTTTTCATTAATTTACTCATGCTAGACAAGGTAGTTGTACAACCAAGAGAGGCAGAGCTGCTTTTCATTCCCCTCTAGAGTTAGAAGGTGGAGGGATGCAGAGCAGCGTGTTTATAGACAAATGTTCCTTGTGTCCTCCTGAGATCTCATGGAGCTACTCTACATTCCTCTGCCAAAGGTTTCTAGGGAGGGCTGCCTTATTTCTTTTTCTGTGGTAGGATGCTTTCCCGCGCCACTCAGCGATAACTTCAGCAGGCACCATTGCAGCACACAGGCTAGCAGCATATGGGCCTGGATGACTTCAGAATGCCAGCTACAGCTGTATTGTCTTTGCCTTTGTTACCCTCAAGAGTGAGATATCAGCTAAAATAACCACCGCTTGTGGAAAACGGTGCCAATATTCAGTGACAGTGCCCTATATTAGTAGAATCCTGCAACTGAGCAACTCCCTCCTCATTTCCTCAACCGTTGGTGGGCCATATTCACCATGGCTGATGCTGTGACTGGCAGTGTGCTGCAAATGCTAAAACTGGAAAGGTGTCATCTACTCTTACCAACAAGGAGTCCAAGCAATTGGACATGTTTGGCAGGAAGGCATAATCCTCTGAGGTCTGCTAACTAATAGGCTGTTATGGGCAAGCATAACTTTTCATTATAATCTCGGATGACCTTTTGGGCCCGATTCATCCCAGAGGACATTTTCAAGGAGGGCTGAGAGGTCTCTAAGCATTTCCTGAGGGTCTCCTATGATGTATCTGATATAGGTCTTTGCAGCTATGACCTTTAGCAAACAGTTTTGACTGTGGAGCTCAGGCCTCTTTATCGAGGGCTCCTGCTGAAGTGCAATACTGGGCTAGATCCTCAGTCCCATTAAGGTTGCTTTGCACTCCTCCAGGAAAGCAGCCTTAAAGTTGGCTTAACTGACCAGTGGAGGGCTCCCTTGTTCAGTGGGCATAGCTTTGGGAACGGGCTCTTATTTTAGGAGCTCCTAGGCCGTGGCAATCCTTGGCTGCCAGAACAGCCCTTTAAGGCTGCTCTCCATTATGCCAGTGGACTAGATTGGTAGGTTAACGCAAAGACTGAACCCCACAAACCAGGCCATTGTACGAGCAGCAGTACCCTTAGTGATTTATAGCATCAGCACAGAGCAGTGCTGCTCTGATTGTCCCTGTTGTAACTGGGTTAAACCTGAAGGCAATTAACTTTCTATGGCTTTTCGTTCTCTATGCTACCACTTTCCAAGGAACAAGCCATCCCTTCTCATTCGTTCAGTTGCAGGAAGAGATGGAACTTTCTCTTTCTGTAGGCTGCCATAGTCTCAAATATAACTGGATCCCTGAATAATATTATGAACTGGTAATAAGAGCTGTCATGTTACACTGGAAGAAATAGTGTTTGTGGTCACTGAAGGAGATTTGCAATTTTTAAAACACCATGAACATTCTTCCAAGGCTAAAAGAGACTTTCATGTTTTTCTGTGACCTTGTTTTAGCTTTCATACCTGTCCTTGAGCGCTCAGTGTGTAGTTGTCTTTAAGTTTTTGACCTGAATATTGGGGTAGGTTGTAATTTAGAATAATAGAATATCAGTGTTGGAAGGGACTTCAGGAGGTCATCTAGTCCAACCCCCAGCTCAAAGCAGGACCAATCCCCAACAGTGGATTGCAGTGCCTTGGCTCCACCCACCACTTCTTGCTGGCCCCCACAGCTGAGCTGATACAGAGGGGTATCATAAACCGCTGCTGGAACAGGTTAGCAGCAAATTACTACCTTCCACTAGGCTAGAACAAAAAGGAACTGGACTCAAAGGTGTGTATCTGAGTACAGTGCTGCCTGGGGTGGTGCAGCTTATGTGCCATCCCTAGCTCAAGGCTGTGCCAAAAGAAAAACTCTAACCCATTATTTGAATCGTATATGTATCTTTTATTCTTATAATCTATTTATTATTTAGATAGCACATTGTGAATACTACTGCAGTTCCTTTCCAAATAAAGGAAGGCAAAGCCCTGCCCTAAGAGCTTACAGTTGCTTTGTGTCTAGAACATACCCAGTTTTGGCTACTTTGTAACATGAAACATCTTGAGATAAAGGGCCATGGTCTTTTTTTTTTTTTTTTTTTTTTAAGTAAAGGAATAAACCTATTATCTGAAGCACGGACAGACTACTATACAACAGACAGACAATACTAGGGAACATTCCAGACACACATCCGTTGTAAACTCTTAGGGACAGGGATTTCTGCGGATTGAACCTGTGGTATAAATGACATACATGAAATTTTAATTTGAAAAACTCAACTTTAAGAAGTAGCTAGAAACCGCGTCATACCCTCTTCATATGATCAGGCAACAAGAGTTGGGAATATTCACCCAGAATCACCTTGATGTTTCATTGATTGGAAGAGCTCTCATTGGATATCGGAGTGTTTTGGAAGAGCCCACCTAACGTCTGCAGCACATTGAGTTAAACTCTTATTGGGAGGTAACATAGTCCAATGGATAGGGCACTGGATTAGGAATTGGGAGACCTTGGTTCTTTTACCAGCTCTGACTCTCTGTAACACAGGGCAAGTCATTTAACCTCTTGGTTTTCTTACGTGTGAATCTGGAATAGTAATGCTTACCCACCTTTGTGAAGTGCTTCGACCTCAGTGGATAAAAAGTGTACATGCTCATTTTCTAGTCCTCCTCTGGCCTCTTGGTTTCTGCTGCTCCTAACACTACAGAACCGCTGAATAATTAGCATGTGCAGTGCATTCAGTGACATTTCACAACCAGCCATGTGTTTTGCTTGTGATGTTACTTAGCATCCAGAGAAGAAATTCCAAGGTTTAACAGTCTGTCGCCCTCTGTCGCACCCATTTGTTGTGTTGGTATCTGAACCTTGCTTTTTTTGTGAATAAAGGTATCTGAATGACCGTCAAGTGGTCCAGTAACATCAAGCCAGGCCACCCCAGCTTTGTACACTTTATCCCAGGGCCCTGAAATTAAGTTGATTTCATTCATTTATTGGAATTTGACTTCTAAAATTCATCTATTCCACATGTATAGATGTTACATAATGGAACAAATCACTCAACAATTGGAAACTCTTAATTTAGACTGACATTTGATAGCACCTGCTCATTAGATCAAGTGCTTTTTTTCTTTGGGAGGCTGAATGGTATCCCTAAGTTGGATGGGGCTGTCACCTCCTCCGTCCCGCCACCAAAGAGGTGGAGGGGTGTGTATGAGAGTGGAAAAAGTATGATTATATAATATATATGTGGAAGGACTTTCTCATGTAAATTAGATGTTCAGGATTTTGATCACTGGTACGGAAGGGTGGAGATGCAGAGAGATTCTTTAGCATTAACTCTTCTGTCTGCATGAGTTTGAATGTTACTGTTGTAATCATAATTGACTTCCATACAGTTCCCTCCTCCCACCCCCACTTTTGGGACCTTAAAATCAAAGCTCCTATCTGCTTTGAGTGCATATTATTCAAGGCTAAATTTAAGATCTTGATATCCTGGTTGATATCCTTGCTTAGACAGCGCCCAACTTTTAGGGATCCCACCATCACGTTACACTGAAGTTGGCAGGTGATTGCACTTTTGTTGTGAGCCTTAGGTATATAAATCTCAGCCCCTTGACATCCGTCTTAGCCCCTCCTTCCATTTTCCTGTTTTCAAATTATTCCTTATATCTTCCAATGTACCTCAAAGTGTCCTTTAGAATGAACTCAGTCATGCCCCTAATGTATTACTCTCCCATCCTTTTCTCCCTGGCATCCTGGTATTTGGATCCTCTCTCTCTCTTTTTTTAAATGTTTTAATTTGCTACTAGTTTGTATAAATATTGGATAGCACCTCACACAAATAGGGTAGGGTGAAGAATTGCTTTATAGATCCTGTGACGCTTTTGGATAAGAGAAGATGTTTGACCCAGTGGCCTTGTCAGAAATTTCCTTTCTCTTCACCGTTGTGTAACGTGCAGTGTACTATTTAGCTGCTGCCCCTCGCACCAGAGGTGGCTACATTTTACTGGTGCTGCATGGATCTTTTAGGTGAAAAGATTCATTTCTGAGATTTGCTGACAGGAACATGTAGAATGGAACTGCTGCCTGCCCTTCCTCCTCCACTCCCGCACAGAAGGGGAAAAAAGCAGTTCTTTATAAATAGCTCTGTTCCTATCGTATTTGTAAATTCAGTGCTTTTTGTGTCACTGACATCACCCTCCTTCTCCATGGCAACTCCCTACGATGTCAAAATTTCCAGGCACTATTTGAGAAACTTAAAGCGCTAAATGAACAAGTTGATTCAGGATGTTCTAATTGAAAATAAATCAGAGCAGGAGGCGGCAGGAGGGAGTGTGGATGGGAGAAAATGGGCTTCTCTCAGCTCTAATCCTCTGGAAAACTTGCATCTGTGAATGCATTTTAGAACTCTGCTTGCCCAGTCACTCTTCCTTTTATAACTATCCCTGTCAAAAGGAGGAGGTGGGTGGACATCTTCTTTTCCTATCTCCAGCAGCCTGGAGAGAAACACTGCAGGTGACTAAGCAGCAGGATCCAGACTGACTCACTCCTGAGTTATTTTCTCTTTCGTTGTTTGTTCTTACCTTTTGGCCTGCAGCTTATATTTTTCCCCAGGCCCCAATGAGACAGAATTAGCAGCAGGCTTTATTGTTCCCTAATGTTCCTGAAAATATGTGCTTGTGGTTATACAGGTGAGGAAATAAAACCAAACCTTAATGTCAAGAAAATTAATCATAGTCTTTCTCTTGGCAGCAACATTTTTATTAAAAATAGTTTTTGCTTTGAGTTTTGTCCAGGAAGAACTAATGTGTCTGACACACCGGTGAACTGAAAGGTTTCTTTGTAAACCGACCTGTGGAAAATACATCATTGCCCCAGTGGCAGGTCTACTGGTTTTAACTTGATTGCTGCAGTAATTGCTCTAAGTAGAAGTTGTTCTACCTGGAACCTTGTTTATAGAATTGGATTGTGTTGGGTTTGAACTGGGCTTCAACTGAAATACGAAAGCAGATCTTCAGGTTGGTGCAAAGTTAATGTCTCCCCAGTTACTTCAATGGAGCTGTTCTGCTTTACATCAGTGGAGGATCTGGGTCACGGTGTCTAAGACCCTGGGAAAGTATCCCTTCCTTATATTGCAGTTTTGTGGCATTCCAAGCTCTATTGCTGAAATTCAACTTCCTGAAATGTCAACTCCATATTGCATGTCTGATTTTAAAAATTGCTGGGGACGGATGCAGGACAGTTACACAAGAGCTGATGTCCATGATGTCTTTCCCTGGATAAGAACCCAGGAGCACTTAGTGAAATGAAAAGAAACCCACCATCTCCCCAAGGAGGGTAATGGAGCCCCATTCTCTGTTTTAGAAGAGCAAGCTACAAGTGCTCACGTTCTCCACTTTTCCAATGTGCAAGGCAAAGGAATCTATAATCACAGATTCTAGAAGTGTGAGGTTATGTTCCACCAATTAACTCCTCCACTTGGAGTAGAGCACAAGTCAGCCATCTTCTGATTTCAAGGCTTAGCTGAACGGAGATGCATGAATAATCTTTATATCCGTGAATCTTGATTAAAATATTGTCCTTGCTTCTGATGCAGAAAATGTCATTCAGCCCCTACTCCCATCCTCTCTTCTGAGATCACAGAATCAGCACATAATACAAAGGAGTCCCAGCAAATGTCTATTCATTGCAATGCAAACCTTAATAGGAGCACATATCTACAATGGGATCCATTCAGTTTGAGCTGCAAGACTTTAATGGAATTTGTCACTATGGTCTCACCCATGCTCCAATGTGAGGACTTTATAACTTCCTTCTATTCTTCAAACACCTTTGCTTATTGCCAGGGAGAGGGGGCGTCTGGCACTTTCATATACTCCTCCACAGCAGCTGGCATCAGGCTAGTGCCGGTGAGTAAGCAGCTGCAAGGATGATGTGTGTTTGCGTGTGTGTGTGAGACACTGAACCAGGATCTTTCTGAAGAAGCTTTGAGATGAAATTGCTGAGAATTTTTGCCTGAAGCAAGGGATGTTTCCCTAATCTAAGACAAGCAGCAGCCTGCAATCAGAGAGACGCAGTGGCTAAAGTCAGTCCAGAAGAGAGACTTTTCACAGATCTTCTCAAGGTAAGACCCCTTTGGGTGCTGCGGTAGGGGGAAGTGGGCAATAGGGTCCAGCATGAGCTTCCCCCACATATGAACACTGGGTGTGATGAGATGATTTTAAAGCTTGGGGAGGTTAGAAGATCATAATACTGAGACAGATCTAAGCCCTTGTCTGACACTCCCTTTTCAGGCTGGAAATTTAAATCAACCAATAGGAACCATCTTCTCTGGCCTGAAGCCACAAACAGGGAAAGACTTTTAACCCTAGAGAGTCTACCTTCAGCCTGGGCAAATGGTGAACAATACTGGCTAACTACACTTCTAATTCAAATGCTAGGTACCAGGATTCAGATACTAGGGTCATAGAACTGTAGGATTCAGAGAGAAAATGTAATTTAGCAAACAGACCAGCTCAGAATTTTTGTTTATTAATGTATTTTGTGTTTTTGAAACACGGGCAGGGTGCTTGGTGCTCTGCAGAATGCAAAATTAAGATGGTCCCTGCCCTGGGAGCATATGTCTAAAAGATTTTTGTGACGCTAACATAAGGTTCTTAATTTGAGACTATAACGTGATGAAATGCTGCTGAAACAAGAGCTTGAAAATATGTATTTGTACACCTGACTTAGCATTTAGCTGTGCTGACAACTGTTTGTGGAGGGGCCAGTAAACACTAAAGATCTCTCTGTCCCAGCAGAAGGGGGCTTTTGCAGGGACAGTTTGTTTTACTATCCCATATCCTTATTTCAAGATGGAACAAAATGGGTTTTGAATGCACGGAGGTAACTCTCAAAGAAGAACCAGTAGGCAATGGTACTTTACCTCTAAAATACCTTTCCTAAAAGCATGTTTTGTATTTCATATCTAAAAAAAAATTAAAGCTGAAAGCTCTCCTACAACAGAAGACAGGCTGGGAAAAGTATGCTGTGGGATGTGGTTGATTGCTGCCTTTTCATAAATTATAATCCTGGATGAGACATCATGCTCTGCTGCACTTTTTCAAGGTGCCAGGGCCATTAAGGAATACACTTGCTGAGCCTGGAAAGAGAACAGAGTGCAGGAGCATTCTGTTTTTTCTGTCTGTGGACTTGATCCCTATGCGCGTGCGCACACATCTGCAAACAGATCCAATTTCGCTCTTGGACAAAGTAAAGAAAAAAGATCTGTTTGGATCCAAAGAAGTTAGTATAATTGGCTAATTACAGTAGCTAAAGTTGGGATGGAAGAAACTGGCTAAAAAAGGACATCCTCAGAGACAGCTTTGCAGTCAGTTTTCTGTGGGGCAATGTCCAAGTCTTTCTTCGTTGCCACTTCTCTTTCCCCAGCTTGTGTGTGGTGAGGTAGGGAATACTGCCCAGAGACAAGGTTCTGTGCACAGTCACGTTGTATATGGCGGTGTGAGGGCGTTCGGTGAGATTGCCAAAGGAAGGGATCTTGTGCCCAGCTTTCTGTTAGGGAGTCTGATGCCTGTTTGGTTGCTGTTGTTTGGCAGTTTGATTCCACTGTGTGCGCATAGTTAAGACATTGTAATTACTTGCCAACCTTAGAATCAGGAAGAGTCTATTTGTGGGAGATTGAATGAATGTATACTCTTAAGCATTAATCCAGGGCAGCTTCCAAGTATCCTGTTCACTGGAAGACTGGTTAGAAATAAACCAGGGCAGAATGATGGCATAAGGCGGCTGAGATTTCAGAAAAGCAGAGATGTTCAGGATATCTCCTTGTTGGGTGTGCTTGGAACATTTAAAGGAATTCTGCCCTGGTAATCTTTTTATTTACTTTATAATAGAATATTCTGCAGATGGACCCGTCAGGAGCATACTTGTGGCAAGAAGGCAAGGGAGCACTGACAATTGCAGTCAGTCAGAGGGACAGTATAGAAGGTAGACACCACCACTAACTCTATTACTTGACATCTTTTAAACCTACTTTAATTCTACATAAATAATTTCCAGCACCAGCATTATGTTTCAGGTGAGATTTCCCTTATTCGGCAAAATTCTCTCTCCATTTTTGTTTTTGGTGCCAGCTTTTATTTCGGGCCTTTTGCAGGGCCTTTTGCTGAAAGAGCTAGAGTAATTAAAAAGAAAAGAATCCTATTTCTAGGGAATATAAATTGTGGTAAGCCTGGAAAAGTGTCCTTTAATTAAATACTGATCGTCCTCCTTAATTAAAACTGCCACTAAAAACTAGGCAGTCCGGTAGTTAAAGTAAATAATAACAGGACATGAGGAATACCTCTCAAATGAACATCAGAAACACAGTTATACAAATGTAATAAAAGGGGTGTATGTGCAGTGGCTCAGAAATGGAACAGAGCTTTTCACAGCTAATTTCAAACATGGTTTAGGGCAAAAATGGAATTGAAATTTGTTACATCTTGGTGACCCCAGACCATTTCCTTGTGAGCAGTTGTTTGGATCACTGAAACCACTGCCAGAAATGGCACCCTACTTAGCAGTCTCAGAAGAGAAGCCAAAGACTGAATGGGCCATGGGGACTGAGCTCCTCCCATGCCCTAGCAGTTGTCCTGTTGTCCCAGAATTATGACACATGAGTGGAGCGATATGGAGAAGCTTGCACTACTACTGTTCAATCTGTGCATATTCTGTGGATAAAATCGAGATGATTTCGAGCCCACGTCCTGGGTTGTGCATGGTGCAACTTGGGGTGTGTAGGGGCATTAAGCCATCTCTATACTCCCTTTCCCTTCTCCCTGCAACCTACTGAACCTGGGGCCACGAGGCCATTCCCTGGAATAAAGCAGGGCAGTTTCAGAGCTGCTCTGCCCTTCTTCAAGTTCAGTCTCAAACCCACCTCAACCATGATGCCCACAAATGGATGGGTGGCAGAGGTTCATTAACTGTGTGTGTGTGTGTCGCATAATGTATAAACTTAACCTCAAAATCTGCAAATTATTCCCACAGTTGGTTTATGATGTTCCCTGTGCTCCTGTTGTTGCTACTCTTGCAGCTTCTCCTTCATCCTCTCTATTGTGTGCTCCTTCCACCTGTTTATAAGACTAAACTCTTCAGAGAGGGGACTGTCTCCTATTATATGTCTGTACAGCACCCAGCATAGTGGGGCCGGATCCTCAACAGGGCCTCTGGATACTACAGTAATACAAATAATAAATCATCATAATCATGCCCTATTTTGTGCTGGGCAATGCCAGCAGCTTGCGTGTAGAGACACTATGCCACACCCCCTTTCTCTCAGGCACACCCTTTATGCCGGGGGCCAGAATAGGGTTGCCAACTTTCTACTTGCACAAAATCCAACACTCATGCTCTGCCCCTTCTCCGAGGCCCCCCTCCCTCTGTCACTTACTCTCCTCACCCTCACTCACTCATTTTCACTGGGCTGGCTCAGGGGGCTGGGGTGAGGGCTCCGGCTGGGGGTTTGGGATCTGGGGTGGGGCCAGAAATGAGGGGTTTGGGATGTAGGAGGAGGCTCTGTGCTGGGGGGTGGAGTCAAGGGGTTCAGAGTATGGGAGGGGGCTCTGGGCTGAGGTAGGGGGTTGGGGTGTAGAAGGAGGTACGGGCTGAGGGTGTCGGTTCTGGGGTGAGGCCAGAAATGAGGGGTTCAGGGTACAGGAGAGGGCTCCAGGCTGGAGTGGGGGTGGGTGAGGGCTCCGGCTAGGGGTATAGGCTCAGGTGGAGCTGGGGAGGAGGGGTTTGGGGTTTAGGAGGGTGCTTTGGGCTGGGGATGAGAGATTTGGGGCGTAGGTAGGTGCTCCAGGCTGGGACTGAGGGGCTTGGAGGGCAGCAGAGGGGCTCAGGGCTGGGGCAGGGGGTTGGGATCCAGGAGGGGATGAGGGGTGCAGGATCTGGGAGGTGCTTACCTCAGGCGGTTCCTGGAAGCAGCGGCTTGTCCCATCTCCGGCTCCTATGCAGAGGTGCGGCCAGGTGGGTCTGCGCGCTTCCTTGTCCGCAGGCACCACCCCGACAGCTCCCATTGGCTGAGGTTCCTGGGTGGCCAATGGGAACTGTGGGGGGTGATGCTTGGGGCGGCGGCAGCATGTGGCGCCCCCTGGCTGCCCCTATGTATAGGAGCTGGAGAGGGGACATGCCGGCTGTTTCCTTGGAGGTTGCGCGGCACAGAAGCTCTCAGGGAGCCTGCCAGTCCAGCTGCACGGTGCCGCCAACCAGACAGTCAACAGCCCAGTCAGCGGTGCTGAATGGAGTTGCCAGGATCCCTTTTCAACCGGGTGTTTCTTTTCTCCTCAGAATCTGACTAAATTAGACTGTAGCATCTGTGTTGTCTTATTGACAATCTTCTAGTTTTCAGACTTTCCTCTCTCTGATACACAGTGCCTCCTAATATGCAGTCTTTTTTGTTTTTATTACCCTCTGTTGCCTTTTTAATTAGTTGAAAGAGAACAAATTCCACTCTAATCTGTGCTTGATACTATTAACGTTGCATATGCATAGAAAGAATGATTGAACAGGTTATATTTTTCAAAGGGGGATGGGAGCTCAACCCAGCCTCCCACATTGTGGGCGTGGTTTGCTTTCCAGGCCCCAAACCTTCCATTGGTGTGTGTGTGTGATGGCTGACATCTTGGCAGACGCTGGCGATTGACCACGGACTCTCCAGACTTAAAATAAAAGTCTCTGTATCTTGTGCTAAACAATTGGGGACTGTAGCAGACTTGGATCCTCTGTGGATCAGATACGCTAACCAATAGGTTCTACATGCAGTTGTTATTTTTAGTATCCAAATAATCTACACTTAAGAGCTAACAGCCTTGTACTGTTTTCTTGTTACCTGGGCCAGTAAAATCAGTGGTGGTCTTCCCATTGACTTCAGTGAGAGCTGGATAGGAGCTGATCCTTCAAGATTGTGGCCCTGGCCTTGATCCAGGAAAGATGTGCACATGTTTAATATTAAGCACATGGACAGTCCCACTGAGGTCTTAGAGACAGATTTCCTCCCTGTCATGTCCATCTTGAACTAGAGATCCCTGTTTTAATGCTCACTGAAGTGTCAGTGGAAAGACTCCCATTGATTTCAATGGA